TCGTCTCCCTCGGAGTCATGGAGAAGTAGGACGTTCATGACGAACGATAGGAGATGTACTGACTGGATTCTGAACTCTCGTACACAGCCGTCCCATACAAACACACTATCGCACATCTCCTCAGACACTCTGGTTGACAGCCACACTTCACGAGGCGTATCGCCGGGCGTAGCTCGCGATGCCTTGGTAGCTATCCCCGTGCATCAGATCTATCAAAAAGGAGGATGATAGGCACAGTCAGCACATGTTCGCAAGATCACGCGGGGGAGACATCACCCCCCTATTAGCGGGGGGTGAGAGAAGCGGGAGGGAGAGGGACGCACCGATGGGGGACGTGAAGTTGTGCACGAACGGGTGCACGTTCCTGCTCTGGAAGTTGTGGCGCGCGAGGTTGCCCTCGGTGAGCCCGACGACGCGCACGCCGCCCTCGACGGTATGGCCCGAGTCGAGGCGGCGATTCGGCGCGAACGCCTGGAAGGAGACCGGCTTGAGCTGCGCCTCGGGGTCCGCGAGCGTCGACGCTTTGATGAAGCTCGGCTCGCGCGCGAGGTCGAGCGCGCCACCCGTACTCTTCACCGCCACGGGCGGCATCGTCGGCGAAAAGCACGAGTCGTTGTCGGACCGCACGCTCGTCCGGTAGGACATCCGCCGCAGCGACTTCTCACGCGAGGCCTCCTTCGCCTTGATCTCGGTCGTGACAGAGCGCGGGAAGAAGACCACCAGTGTCAGGGCGGTGGACACCATGCATCCGATGCCCCCGAGGAACGCGAGGAACTCGGACGCGAACCTGCAGAACGCACGTCAATTGACTGTCCACCTGCGACATCGCCGGAGACGCACATGTTCATGTTGACCGTGAGGGTCGTTGTGATGCCGTCCGCGCCCAGGATCAGCAATGGCACGGCGAACAGGAATCGAAAAAGGATGCGAATGTACTATTGACGGTGAAAGTGAGTCATTGGCGCATGCTGTAGGTGCACGGGCCGCCTACGTTCAGTTCGTGGAACGCTGTCAGGCGCACGATGGTGCCCATGTCAACGCCCTCCGATTTCTTCGACAACGTGAGTATCTAGAAGCAAGCCGATCACGCGTCGTACTCACCAAGTCGCGCAGGAAACGAGGGAATTTAAATCTAGAACAACGTTCAGAATTGTTACGGAGAGCACAAGCGCGAAGCGCACGCACAGAACCGAGAGGAAGTTGAGATTCAGGATGAGGTCACTTATGCTACCCGCAAGGAAAGTGACAGCTATGTTCTGCACGACATCGGTCATCAGAACAGTTGACAGGGATCACGTCAACACACCTTGATGGGATCCGAGCGAGTGACAATCGTTAGGACGGGCATGTATGCAATGGCCATGATCGAGCCCACGGCCCAGACCTTGAAGTAGAGGCTGCGGAACCAGTCTTGCTGGACTGACCCTGCATTAACCAGGAACATCCAGAAGCACAGTTCTGGTCAAGGATGTGAGCAGATGGGCGCTCGAGAGTGAGGATGGGCACAGCGTACCCTCCAAGTGCGTTACGCTGTGGAGACGGTCAGCTGGGTGATGTTGATATGACCGATAGACCGCACTCACATCTCGAATCCCCAGGCGATGGAGAAGATGAGGGTGAATGGGAAGTACATCCCTCGGTACGGCTCCTCCCAGGATACGACGGGGAGGGGCATGACTGATCACGACCGGCGGCGTCAGATCGTCCTGCCGTTCTACGCCACGCTCTACTCACATCCGTAGCCTGGCATGTCGACGTACCCCATCTTGTACGATATGACCGTCATTCCGACGGAGTATATAATGATCAAGGGTATAGTGACCAGGTAGGTGTACTACAGCACGCGATGAGTTCCGCACGGCCGCATCGAGTTCCAGCAGCGACTGACCGTCATGATGCGCTTGAACGCGCCCGAGTATGGCCCGTTAGCCCATCTTGAGGAGCCAGGTCTAGTTCCTATCGTGCGGGGCGATCGAGATGTGGCTCACCGTAGACATTTGAACCGATCGAACTTCCACAGATGGAACAGGAGGAAGATCCCCGTCTACGAGAAGGTCAACCCTTCAGACGGTCGCACTAAGAAGGAGCACGGAAGACTGACCAGGACGGAGATGGTCGCCCAGATGAGGTAGGTTGGCGGCGATACGCACATGGATTAGAACGAATGTAAGGCGCGAATTATAGCATCCACAAGAATGAACAGGCCGGGAGTAGAGCGAAGAGCGAAGGCTACGCGGCGAGAGAAAGGGTGCGAGCGATGCTAGTGACCTCAATAAGAGGGCTTGCTGGCGTTCCTGGCCTGAAATTAGCTCGCGGGCTCCATCATCACACGCCGGGATTGATGAAACAGACATTCAGCCAGGGGCCCAGGGCCCATATGGACGCTGCTCCATTGGTGGGTCTTGGTTGCATCGTTGATCTTGGGTCCAGTCGCCGTCACATCAGAGCTGGCCGTCACGGTCAAAGTGTTTGATAGATCCCGTCCGGTGCGGTTCTGTTGTAGTTCTCCCGTAGCAGGAGTGTCCGAGCACTTGCAGGTAGTGCAACTTCGCGATAGAGTGAGACTCCACGACTGCTCGAATGAGGAGGTTTCCCTGCCGGAACACCCGCCCGAGTCTGACAAGCGAGCCGTCACATCAATCGCGGGCTGTGCGCCAACCCGTCATTGGAAAAGACTAACCACCTTGACCGGCCACCTCGACTGTCACAAACGTGATGCAGCATTCTGCGAATTGAAGGATCAATATCATAATATCAGTGGACCAGTAATGCAACTTTTTCGATGTTCCCTTCCTCCTGCACGAACCACTCACCAGACTGCCTCGGAGTTTGCTCAGTCTGACGGACGAGAATCTAAGTCTCCTCTGAAGTTTTTTGGGGCTTCTTAGGTGGTAGAGAGAGAATACCGAGAGGGAGTTAGCACTGGAACAGTAATGCAACTTTCCTCCACAGGTCGCCACTGTCACGATGCCGCGGCTGCCGTAGTTCAAGGTCCGCCATGCCGAGAGCGGCCAGTGAGCGCACAGTGGCTGTTTGTCACGCCTTAGCCACCGTTTTCTCGATTCGCTCTCTCGAGGGCCATGCTGTTTCCGGAACGCGTCTGAAAAATTGGTAAACATAGCTAAGGTATATCCCAACTCCCCACAAGGTTCTTGAGGTCTGCACATGCATAGTTCATTCAGTCGAGGCCAACCGATTTCGGAATAAGTGCATAATACAGCTGCACGATTTTTCTTGAAATGCACGCAGCAATGATCACCAGAAAATCACACAGTACACAACTATGTGCTTCTATCCGTAATGTTTGAAATTTGCAGAATTTTTGGAGGGAAGAATCGGCGTCGAGTAGTTGCATTTGATTCCTGTCCCGATTACAGGGCCACTGATAGTAGCAGATAAAAATAAAATAAATCTCTAAAAATGTGGGAGTGGTTGTAGAAGGCGACGGAGTTCGATGTTAGCGTAAGATGCGTTGAGGATGTAGCTGAGCTGTGGCCGCGGCCCTTTCCCGATAACAAGCGCGTGGCTGCGTGATGCGATGTTCCGCCAAAACGGGAAGGCCACATGATAGCGCCCGGAGTTCTCCGAAGACTGATCTTTTGCGATCGACAGCGAGCTACCGGCGCGCCACCCTCAAATCCCCCGCCCCGACCCCGACACACGAACCACAGCACTCAAGGCTGGTGTCAACCCTGCCCTAAAAATGTCTCTTGCAACGCCGACCGCCGACGAAATCGAGGATCTCCTCCTTGCGTGTCGCTACGGCGACCTCGAGGATGTCCAACAGTTCGTAGACAAGTTCGGCCCAGAGCCGCTCAACGACGTCCGCGACGAACGCGGCAACACCATCCTGCACATGGCAGCAGGAAACGGACACACAGGTATGTCCCGCCCTTGCACCGCGCTCCGGCCGCCCCGGCGGAGATGCTCACGAAACAAGGCATTACCCAGACACGCTAGAATTTCTACTGCACCACGTCTCTCCGGCGCTGCTGTCAGCACAGAACGCCGCCAAGTCCACTCCGCTGCACTGGGCGGCGTTGAATGCCCATCTCCCTGTCGCGCAAGCACTCGTCAAGTGTCCGTGTGGTCCGGGCGTCGACCTGATCGACGTCAAGAATGAGGCCGGCAGGACACCTCTCGGCGAGGCGGAGAATGTTGGCTGGGAAGAGGGCGCGAAGTGGTTCGTCGAGGTGATGAACCTGGACGAGGGCGCGAAGGGTGAGGAGGTGCATGTCGCGGAGGACGAAGATGCCGAGAAGATTGAGGTTGAGATCCAGGACGCGGAGGGGCAGGTCGCAAAGATGACAATCGGACAACGGCTCACAGCTATCTCCCCCTCCGACCCTCCGAGTGCTCCATAGTGTGTCACTGTCACCTGTGTACTGGGTCATCTACGGTATGTGTCTCACAGGCGGCATTCTTGCGACGCGTTTGACTCTTTCCGTAGTCGTTTGTTCGTCTCTGTCGCCGATCATTCCTGCTTCACATGCGCGTCAAGCTCGGGATCGAGCACCAAAATTGTATCACCTCGGTTGTCTCACTTGTATCAATCAAAATGCGGATGCGCTTCATGACCTTGTCAGTGAGCTAATCACCGTTGCGGAGAATACGGGCCTGTCTGCGTACAAGTGAATCAACACTCATATCGCGCTCAACTCCCAGCTTCGGAAGCCAACTCATAAGCATCAGTCTCGCGCACCCACCCTCTCCTGCTAGTGCGCTGCTCCTATTCACGTATATCGCCTACGGGCTCCAAACCAGCTCGCCGGCGAAGTCGCAAATATTCGCATTTGTGGTTGGTTGCACGCCGTCTCCAGCGTCCCAACTGCATAGTGATTGAATGCCATGCTAACTCTCGCCCAATGCGCAGCGTGACCCCTTGTAAGTAGCCCAGTTACGCGGGGATAAGCACCTGCCTTGTCCATATATACATCACAAACACCCTTCGTTCATGTCGTAAGTTGGCAAAACTAACAATGCAAAATAGTACCTTTCAAAGGCCCTGCCAGGGCTCGAACCTGGGTTGACGGAATCATAACACCCGATCCTTGGTAGTAGCAAGTGATTTCAGAATCCGCCGTGATAACCGCTACACTACAGAGCCGATGCAAAACTATCCCCTGTCAGTTATAGAATCAGATCGCACCTCAACATGGCGAGGCTCAGCCTGCACCGACTCCGAGTCACTCAGCCTGCAAATTTCTTTCGTGGGCCCTCCTGCCAGAGCAGCCTCAATGCACTCAAGGTATGCATCAATTCTGTCGATGTGTAACGTCGACGATCTGACTGTGAACGACTAGGATTGGTAAACACGTCCGGAGGTTGGTTGAATTGGGACAGACATGGTTGTCTCCTCGAACACCCTATCTCACCTAATCACCACTCTTCCGTAGGCACATTGAGAAGCAGACCTCATCAGAAGGAGACGCGGTCTTCAATCCACCGCCTTCCATCATAGCACTACAACAAGCACATTTTGCTTTGCTGCAATATGTCGGAAACAGAGCACCGCATACCTCAGGAGCTCGTCGACATGGTCCTCTCCACCCTTGGCGGATCCTAAGAAAATCGGGAGACTTTGAAGAGCTGCAGTCTGACGTGTCGCGCATGGGTCCCTGCCAGCCGCGCACAGTTTTTCGAATCTGTCGACCTCGAACCTCCCAAGGACATCACATCCTTCTCCGGAATCCTTCGACAGTCCCCCTGCCTTGTGCGTTATGTACGCACACTTGGACTTTTCACCAGCGACCCGGATAACGAGTTCTCTTACTCGGATGAAGACCTCGATGCCCTTCGAACCGTCGTTGCAAGCATGGAACACGTACAGCGCCTCCGTCTTACCGGGAGTTCACCTGGCGCAGTAAGGTTCCTGGACCGCCTAGGCCTGCCACGCATGGACTCCGTCTCGGGAGTTACCTTCGAGTGCATGCTTTTCGACAATATCGGAGTCTTTACCCGTCTTCTCGCCTCTCTTCCTAACGTCGACGATATCACCATAGAGACGCTCTGGGCTCCAACGCCAGACGACGGACGCATTCCCGTCCCAGTAATAGCCCCCAAACTGCGCAAGGTCCGGCTTTTTGATGGCTGTTTGGCGGCGTATGCGCCTCTTCTGCCGTTGGCGCTGGACCACTTGGCAATTCTGTTAGCGACACTTTGCGATATCCGCCAGTTTTGTGGTGTCTTTCACCAAAGTAATGCCGCATCTTCGCTAAATACATTGGATATCGACGACTACTCTGGAGGCTACGACGGTATGTTTTCTCCAAGCTGTGCTCATAGGCCACTGTCCTAAGCCTTCGTCGGTGTAGTCGATTCAAACCCGTACGAGGGGCTCTTGAAGAGATGCACTGCGCTTAAACACTTCAAGTTCCATGGGTCTTTAATATGGACCGTCTGCGTGATGCAATCCGCGCCCGACAATGCGACCCACGTCGAATTGACCTTTCCACAAGATAGCATGGAAGACTTCAGGCGCCTTGCTACGGCATTGAACTGCAAACGCCTTCCACGCTTGGAGAGTGTAGTACTCCACATACCAAACTCGAGGGGCGCGGGGGATTCCGATGCGGAAAACCTCTTGAATATCTTCCCTGATCTTCGCGCGCGAGGCATATTGACGATCACCTTTGGTGAATGGGGTGATAGCGCAATACGATGAGGTGGGGCATGAGTGGCGTAGATCGATCTTGACCTAGTCAATTATTGTTGCTCCTTCCGCTCTTGCTGATACTTGCTGTTCTCGTTCAAGTGGCCCTTCCTCCGTGCTCGCGTGAACCATATAACAGTTGTTGCTAATCTCGATCGGCGAGTTGGAATGGACATGGGCTGTGCCCAATCTATATTCCTGGGGGCTCGAGTCTTTGACAACTAAGCCATTCCAGCTCCTCCTCGCACGCGCGGTCGGTGCAGGTCACATTTCACCTGCTATAGGACATGGGTGATCATGCATGCCGTTAGAAATTAGGTCTGGCGACTGTGATCTCACGCATGAAGCAGTAGAGGCGCAAACGTCGGATGACGACGGGAATGCATACCATGATGGGTAGTGCTTCATTATGCAGAGATGCGTAGACAGAGTGTACAATATATACATGGCATATCCGTTAGTCGTACTCTCGAAAGAGTTGGTCGTAAGGTCGGCGGCCGTATGAGCCACGAAGTCCGAGTACAACTATGAGCACTATAGATACAGTCGCATTATTCAGCCGCGCTTGTCTGAGCGGCACATATATACCCGTTCGGAAAAGAGAGGATGTTCAGGACGTGAGAGTAGAGGGACAAGGGTATCAGCATATGCCAATCAATGGTCAGACTCATAAGCCATGAGCCGCCATCCAGGTATGGCGGATGTGCTGCACACGAGCCTTCGCGTACTTGATCTCGTTCTTGAGCACATCGCGCCGCGCGCGCCCCTCGGCCCACACCGCGCGGAACTCGCTGCGGCGCTTGCGCTCAGAGTCCGCTTGCGCCCGCGCGACCCTGTGCTCCTTGTAAAATTGCCCGCGCAGAGTGACGAGGTGCAGTTTCTGGTAAGAAACCGCGAGCCTCTGGGCGACGTCAGCGAACTTGGCCCGGAACGCGTGCAGCTTATCGAGATCCCCGACAAGCCGATGGATGCGCGGGGGACGCGCTCGTAGCTGGTCGGCAAAGAGGTAGAAGACGTTGAGGTTTCTACGGCCAGGCGCTGGGTTAGCTAGGAGGACAGGTGAGACGGGGAGCTTTCATACCTCTCGAGAGAAGAGATCAACTGCCAATGCTTCTGAAACCAAGCCTGCATCTCTGCGGTCTCTTCGATGGTCCTGACGTCGGGCGTAGCATCGAGCTCTTGCTGTACAGCATGGAGGGCGTGCTGTATAGACTTGCACAGGTCGAAGATCGCCTCTGGCTCCTTGAGTAGACTGCACGAGCATAAACACTAGGGATGTCGTCGCGTTAGCGAAGTTAGGGGTAGCAACCTAGGACAGCGCCCACCATAGCAGCATCTCCGACGGCCTCCGCACACCTCTCCGCCTGCAGATGAAGGCTGGATATAGCGAGTGCGGTGCGCAGGTCTGGTATCAAGGGCGACAGAAGTGCCTCGCCCTCCCCAGAAGAGCACGCATAAGGGATAGGGGGCAGCGAGATCAAGCGTGTGCGACCCGGAGGCGGAGGGGAGTTCGCCACGGACGTGTCCGCCGATGCCGGGGCCATAGGCGGTTCGTCAAACCGCGTGTAGTTCGAATCCTCAGAGGCGGAGGATCGAGGGCTCGGTTCGATCGGAGAAACTGGCGCAGAAGGCGAGACCACCGTCAGCACTGGAACTTCGCTGCCCACTACTGACTCCTGAGCGAGTGGTGTCAAGGGAGGCTCGAAGATACGAGAGACGCGTCTGCGCCATTGCAGGATCTCGAAGCTCGAGAAGGAGGTACTCGACCCCTCTGGGAACTCGAGCGCCGTCACCGGAGGGCGATTGTCATTCGAGACGTGTATGGGGGATGCCTGGCGCGCGGCAGATACAAGAGGGATTTCGACAAGCGGCGCAGACAGACCTCCGGCGTCATTCGCAAACGAACGCCGCCTCTGGATAGCTGGGTGCTGCACAGGAGAAAGCCTGAGCGGGGGCGGTGCGAGACTGCGAAGGCGTGCCGAGAATTGACTCGGCGGGAAGATGAGCATCTCTCTGCCCCCGTAGTGTGTCGCCGTGGACGCGTCGGCGCGCACGTTGCGTCCCGTGGGGTTGTGACCGTGATGCGTGCTAGAACGTGATAGACGCCGGGATGTAGTACCGAAGGAGTCCGTTGGATCAATGTCAGGGATGTCAGATAAATGAAGTGAAACTGAACGTGAGGTGAGCATCGGCGTAGGCAAAGGGGAAGGCCAAGCATAAGAATGCAAGAAGGGAGAGTAGTCAAAGTCGCTGCCGTGCACACCCGCCTCCTTCAGCTCGAAGGGAGACGCAAGCGCAGTGATCGTCGGAGGGCTGGTCGTCTTCGGCGAGACCGACAGTTCGAGTATCTCGCTGAGTCGGTGCTGCGATGCGCATAGCGTGCTTTCGCTCGAGGAATAAGTTGTCGTCCGCGGCGAGGCTCGGGACACGCGGGCGGGATGGCGGAGGAGTGCAAGCCCGTGCTCCCAGCCGAGGGACGACCACGTCTTGAGCGGAGGAGAATAGGGGGAGCGTGGGACACGAATAGGGCTGAGGTGCTGACGCGGCATAATCGCGGGCGAGAAGACTACGAGAAGGTTAAGTTAGCAGCAGAAAAGCCGAGGCGGACGAAGTAGGAAGGAGACGGGAGTAAGCGCACAGCGCGACGGACGCTGCATATTCGACCGCGGTTCGCAGGTCATATACCCCCATTGTGGGTCCGCGGCGGTCCGTTCGACTATCCTGAACTGACGAATAACAATAACCGGTCTCTAGGCACATCGTGAGATCATGACCGGAGGAGGAGCGGAAGAAAAATACAATACGTTGGCAACTGGGCGCATGATAGACGCCGTCACCTGGCTAGAACCGGCCTTGTTCACCCTTATGCTGCTGTCTCTGCCTGGGAATACTGCGGCCTGAGGTCTGCAACGCGGCTCGCCGATTAGTTGCGTTCCGACATCTACGACAGTTTCCAACACTGACCGCGGGGACAGTCCTCGCTCTCTGTGATGCACATGCAGGCGAGGAACAGATCCGCCCGAAGTAATGCCAGAAGTTTGACGTTTACAGAGGAACATCATACGAACGGGTACAATCCGTGCTGTTGCCCTATTACAACATCAGCAGATGACACAAGCCGCACTACCCGCCGGAAGTGACATGCTTACGACTGTGGACGTCTCGCACTTGTACTTGGGCGTTACCCTGGACGTCGGTTAGGGCTGCGCGAGGCACATCGGCTCATCGTGTACTGGTTGGCCCGTCTGATTGCACATTGCTGTTGTTTTCCTCCACAGTGAACATACATACTTACACCTATGTATTTCCATGGCTGACATGGCTCCGTCAATGTCAGTAGTATCGCTTAACGCCTTCCGGAAGTGCAATTCAGGATACGGATATTCCCACTCAAGCGTGCTGAGAAGGGGAGGATGGTCGTAAGGAGAGTCGGCTTCAAGTCTATATGGCTGAGA